TTTAATAAGCTTGAAATAAATAAAATATTAATAAGTTATTTTCCGCAATATAATCAAACACTGAAAAATATTTTCCAAGTTATTTCTCGTGACATTACCAAACATCAAAAAATAATTTACTTTTTCAGAATTCACTTTATAATGAAATCACTTTAGAAAAAAACTATTTTTCTACAGATAAAAAGGATCTTAATGTGATTAGTGTTTCAATGTGGATTGCGAGGAGAAACACAAAAATTACTAGGTGTTTAAATTATTATAAAGAGGTTCATAAATCAACAGGAGGAGACTTGAAGTTCATTTTTAGTATTAGCAACTGAATTTGATTTTATATCTTGATGATTCTTCCTTAAGCCAAGGGGGGATTATTTTTTAATATTTTGAAAGCTAAATCTTCTTTTTTAGTGGTATTTGCACATTTGAAGGACTTTAACTTTAAAAGTATCAATAACTAGGAATTGTTTTGCTTAAATTGTTTAAGCGATGCCAATACCTTAATGCTCGCTATGAGTTTGTCTTTTATTCAATGATCAAGTATGGTATGCTAATCATTTTAGCTTAGCCACATTATTTGTTTTTTATCATTTCCCTGAGTAGTCAAGTATAGTCTAGGAGTATCTGCTTGTTACTATTTATTTTTTAGTATCGTCATTAAAAAGTGGTCACATTACTATTCACAATCTGTGATGAAGTTATCATCTAATTGTAGCCAGGGTTTTTTCAAACTAAAATACCCTTAACTGCTCTAATTGCAGTCATTCTTCCAGTAATCATTATTAAACATTCATGTATCACCATCATCATTTTTGTTAATAACTTTGCAAATCTAGTCAATTAGAATTTTATTATAAAACATTATTTTTTTTAATTGTGGGACTAGACCATAAATCTTAATTACTGAGCTCATATATCTCTAATTATTGAGTTAAAATGATTGGGATATAAATTTGAAAGTATTTTCAACTAATAGACATGTAGAATTCTTTAATCAAAAGCTCAAATCATATCATTCAAATGTAAAAATGCAACTTTTGATATTTTTATTGGCATATGAGGAAATGGATTTATGAATAAAAAGTACCTTTAAATTTCTGGTTGTTTATAAGAAATGGATGGAACGGATTCTTCAACAAATTAGATGCTTTATGTAAAGAAAAATTGAATTTTAAAATTTATTAAAAGAGAAAGTGTCTTGCTTTTTGTTATGTTAATTTTTTTCATGATCTGATATCATATAGAATGATGTGAAGTACGCAAACAAGTCATATTTTTTTTCTTAGCAAACATTTTTCTTTTTTCTTCATAGGTTAATGCTTATCAACACAAACAAAATATTTTTTTTATATATTTTAAACATATAATGTAAGCTAGGGCTCACATTTATATATATAAAAAAAAGGATAAGCACGCATATAAGGCTTAAATCATGTTTAAGAGTATAAAGACATAGGATCACTTGTTTATATATTAAGATGTTCTACTTTTGAACCTTGATTTTGAAATTTTAATTATTTATCACATTACAACTTCAATTCTCTAAATTTTATCTCATTCTCTATCTTTGATATTTTATCTAAAATTTTGGACTTTGTAAGATCGTTAGAAACATTTTGGAAAGCTTTTTTATTTTTATTTTATCTTATAACATTCTTATCCTTTTCATATTTTTTTTATATTTTTTTTATTCTGAGAAATATTTTTAAATTATGCTTCCGATACGAGAGGTGATTATAGTTTAAATTATCATCTAATAAATATTCAAGGCTAAAGGGATAACAAGAGGTAAATTTTCACTTATAAATAATATATAGTAATGCTGATAAATCCTAGGCTTATTCAAATGTAATTATTAATCACATGGTTAACTTTAAAGAAAAAAGTGATAGAATCATAACCTAGATGCAAACTATTTACCATCAAATTATTTGATTTTATTTTGAACTTATTTTAAGCAAAACTTGTATTTTTTAGGTTTATTAAGATGAAGAAGGAAATCTCATGATTGAAAAAGGAGAGTTAAGTTGGACTTTATCTATTAAGATTTATCGATATTATAAAATGAAAATTTTAGATTTAAAGAAAGATTTCCACTCTTTTGAACAATGAGAAAGGGGCCATTTCATGATTGATTGTCATGTCTTGAAAGATTTTTCACTCCTTCAAACAATATTATCATTACAGTATGTACTGCCATTAAAGGTAAGGAATTTATCTAATATGAAATTCATTCTCTATACACACATCTTTTATAAGTATTGCATGTTCTACCAGATAAATGATATGATATCAAACAATGATATGCCTTGAAGAAAGAGATTAAACAGTTGATAGCTAAAGGGCTATATCTAACAGTCTGTGAAGAGAGATATCCACATTAAACTAAACAAAAAAGAATCCAACGAATCCAACCAAGTATTGCCAGAGATCAGCATAATTTTAAGTGGAACCTCGACAAGAGGTGATGGTGGAAGTGGGAAAAAAATACATGAAGCAAGTCCTTACTACTATCCACCTTCTAAATTCGTGGCATGAACCTATCCTATTTACCCTAGAAGATGGGGAGGGGGTAACTTTTCACATGAAGATTCTCTAGTTTTCTCGATAGTTTTATCTAATCACCGTGTCTATATGATATTACCGTGTCTATATGATATTAGTAGATGATAATAGTGTGTGATTAATATTCTTTCCAACGATGTGATGACACAAACAAAAATAGATCCCTCAAAATTAATTCCTGGAAAGACTCCCCTTGTTAAGATTATGGGTATGAGCTTGCAAGTGAAAAAGGGCGCTTTAGATATCTTTGTCTCTAAATGTTTAACTCTCTAATAAGCCTTTATAATCACTTAAACAATTCTAGCCGACAACGTCATACTTACCCAAATGCTTTAACTTTCCAATAGATTGTTATTGGTATTTACTTTACTCTTCAACTACCTTCAAATGTTATTAAACCAACATTCATGGTTTGTATTATTTTTTTTAAAAAAAATCAAAACAAACAAGTTGTTTTTGTTGATCTTGATTTTAAGAACAACTACCTATAAAACAAATACAACCTAACTTTTAATTTTAAGTTTTTTTTCCAGCTTTTTCATCAAGATTAGATTGAAGTTAAAACTGGTTACATGTAGGAATGGGAGGCTAATCCATGTTGTTACTCAAAGTCTCGTTTGGCTATGCAGTGATCATCTTGCAGAAACTATAGAGCCAGGAATCAGAATACAGGAATAATATAATAAATAAGGCTTACCCCACTCTAGCTAGAATCGTTTTCTTGCACATAAGCAAAATAAAACCAGTATTATTGTAATTATAGCAAAGAGACACCACAAGTCACCTTCTTATCCAACTCACTATGCATCAACTGCATTGATCTAGACAAAAGGTTAATTTCCATTGAAATTTCATCCTCGGTCCCTTTTGGGCATGGGAATCTTAGCTAAGGAGGGTAAGCATGCCAGAAGGCATGTGATTGTAGCATGGTAATTTATTGAGGATGGTGAGCCCTGCCTATTATGTTCATACGTCAAACACATCTTCCCCAATTTGTTTATATCTCGCGGTAGCCTGTACGTACAATCCTTTCCTAACTGATGGGCTGTTTCAGCGGTGTAGTTTTTGTAGAAAAATTGTTCATAATTTGCCTGTCTTCCTGCTAGATTGTTAAATGTTCATAATTGCTAGACAATAGGCTCTAGTACCAGTACGTAGTAGGGGAGGGAGGAGGTCCACCACGTGTAATCAATTGGGAGCACTGTAACGTGGTGCCTGGCCCATGCAGTGCCAAAGTGGATCCTAATTTTCCTTAAAAGATTTTTTTTTTTTTTTGGGTGGCAAGATGGCAAAAACTTCTGCTATTGTACTGGTAGTGATCTGCGCCAAGTTATCGCATGTAAAGCGTTTTTGAGCAGAGTCACGTGCCCATTTAATGCATGTATTTAAGGGATTCATGGCCTAAGAGTCAGTCTACTACTCTTCTCCATTGGTAGCCAAACATCATAAGCCTATAATTTATAAAAAAGGCAACAAGAGAATATCCCGACCGTTAAGATTAACTAAAGTAATATATTATATAATAATATCCAGTAGAGGACAGTGGATTTTCTAATGTGATGTCACTGTTGTACTTGTTGACGAGGGTACCCTGCCTGTTTTACGCTGCTAGGTAATTGATCAATCTACTTCCCGTAGAGGAGGAGAAAAACTCAATATAATGGAGTCGCACGTATTGGAGGAATTATTTTAAGACATGCAAGAAAAAAAAAAAAAAAATTAAAAACATTAAAAAAAATAATCTAAGATAAAAAAATATTAAAATTTTCATTAAAAAACATGTTGAAGTGGAGCTCCAAACAGTCACTATAAATGCAGAACTCCGGTGTATCTATTAATTTCTCGCAAGTGACTAAGAAAATATAAGCTAAAATAAGTAGGAATAATGACTTCCTGCTACTAAACCCCTGCTTCAACTAGAGTGGATTCTTCCTCTACATTTGAAAAACGCAGACCTTTCGGAATGAAGTGAAAAACCACAAACACCCACCTTGGAAAAGTGGGTTGGTCATCTCTCTCAACATGATGGGGAGAATGCCCTTAAAAATTAGATGGAAATGATTCTTCTAATGACCGTAAAGCACTGATGTCATACGTTTGGAAATACGAACCGAACATGCATGCAAACGGGAAATTATGCTTTACATGGGTTTTTTGGAAAAACCTCCACTGTTATCATTCAATCGAGTTCTTGTATTTTTTTATTTTAGCCAAACCCGTGAGGTTATTCAATGAGAAGGGTGTGGATGGTGGGAGTGAGAAATGACACTAACAAAAATAAAAGAGAAAACGATGATAATCACTCAAGTGGCAAAGAAAATTACTCAGCACGATGAGATTAATTTTCAATTTTAAGAGATTATACTTGGTTGATTCTGAAAATACATGACTGAAATGATAATAGAGGTGCTATTTTAACTAATCCAAGAACAAACTGGGGGTGGATAATGGGTTTAGCCTATTTTTTTTTTATCATGCAAATTTATGGTCAAGTGTTTGATCTCATAAATTTCAAGTTATCAGCTATGTGAAGCACGGAACATCTAGTTTTACTTGCGTGACGTGAAAGAAATAAAAGACAAACAGACGGGAGTCCTGGCTGGGAGGTAGAGTTGAAAATGTCTGCTCGCCCAGTACTGGAAAAGCATCCCATGCTTGCACTGTGGAATTAACACGAGCACAGAGAGGCATTTCTCATTTTTATTCCACTACCTGGGTGTGTGGATTACCTCGCTATTATTTATACAGGCCATCTCGTAAGCAAGTTGACACGTTAACTATCCATCTGTTCCTCTCAGTTTCAGACCTATGGAGCTGTAGAAGCAATGAGTTGGTCACAAGAAATTCCGAGCTCAAAGCCATCAGTCCACCTGTCAAACCAAACATCAATAGTTGCTCCGTAAACATGGAAAGGAAATTTTCTGGGATAGTATCCATGAGCAATGATGAATCAAAGACTTGCTCAAATTACGATTCACGGCCTTTGTTTTAATTCATTTTTAAGGATTTTTCCCAGTTATGGAATAAGCAATGTAACTTTACTCACCTGAAAGTGAAGTGAAGGAGTCATGGCAAAATCGTATTGGGGAAGTACTCCGGCTGCAATAGGAATGGCAACAACGTTATATGCAATCGCCCATGATAAATTTTGGTACACCTTGGCCATTGTTGCTCGTGAAAGATTCAGGGCATCTACGACCGGTCATGACATATATCAGAACCATCCACGAGGTTTTTATCTTGGTTCTACTCACTATTAGTTATGATTGAAAATCCCAGTAGTATCATCAATGGGTAGAAATTTCATGCCTGAAAAATACAATCTCGTTTCTTCTTTTTTCAATTTCTAGAAAGACAAATCTCATTTTCAATTGTTGGACAAGGACTACATCAACATTCTCAAAATTCAATGCCATTGATAATAGATTAAATGATGAAGTGCCAAGAAGCTTCATGGCTCAACAACACCCATTCGGCCTCTTGTAACTGAAAAATAAAATTGGATGATGAAGTTGGTATCGACTTAATACTCTCAATACTCTCGGCGACAAATAATGCCTAAGAGTAACATAAATCATAATACACAGTGAAATGAGATTTCAGGATTCATCATTCATCAACAAAAAGAGATTAGTTAAAGAAATTTTATCAGAAAAAGCAAATCATACCTGTGAAAGCCTGTTGCCAAGAAGTACAATGGATGCAACATCAGATGCAGCATTTTCTTGAGTTTCATTCTGGATGGCAATCCCAACATCAGCAAGAGCCAAAGAAGGTGCATCATTTATCCCATCACCTACCTTCAAAAACCTAACAGTCAGAAGGTGCATCATATTTTACATTTCAAATCTTGTGTATACAGTATGGTTTGACTGCGAAAATTAAAAAATCCACTGCAGAACTATATTTGTAGCATCCATAGCAGTTAGATTTAAACGCATGGAGAATTCACACTAATTCCCATATAGAACAATGAGTTGCAACAGCATTTTTTCAAGTTCTCCTCCAATTAACATCGGCTGCACGCAATATTTCACTGAAAAGAATGACCGGATTTCTTAACCAGATGAGATGATTGTTGTATTATTGTTTTGTCAAGGTCAAAATAAAATTCTGGAAGCACTTGAGAGAGAGAGAAATTGTTATAGCTTTATATTTTTGCCGTGGATTCGAGGATGCATTGATAAATTCACTACCTATTCCAACTCCCTTTTGCTATGGTTGCAACTGCTTCTTCCCTGTCTCCTGATAAGAGGACCATGTTGATACCGTTCTGCTGGAGCCTACCTATCAGAGCAAAACAAAGACGAGAATAAAGCAGCAAACCATGTGCTTAGATGGCAAGTAAAAGATTTTAATTCGATATGCATGATGCAAGGATAGCAAATTGATTTGTATTCAGTATCCACACAGCTTGTTAGTTATCATCCAAGTTCTGCAACAGCACCTAATAATTAGGATAAAGTACTGAAGTAAAAATCCCCTGCTAAGCTTGTATCGAAGCTCCTATCATGATTCAAGATCCAGGGAATACTCTAGAATTTCTTTAGTGGTTGGCCAATATTGTCACTGACTGACCATTGACAAAGGCAAAACAAAAACATCAGATGCATTGTGCATCACTAAGATTGTCTTGAAGAGCTCAAAGCAATGCTTCTGTTTGGATTTTAGAAAACAAAGTATTTACCAAACAATGATCAGGAAATAACAACCATTTCATTAATTCTAGTTGGAGGTACTAAGGACAAGTCTGCTAGTCATGGAAAAGAGAAATCAAATTGGAACTTGTATTTATGAAACCCGAATCCTGGTACACATGTTAAGAAAAAAGGAAAGCTGTCATAGCAACTTGCAACAAAATTCACTCAGAATTGTCATTTGAGGAAGAAATTTACCTAATTACAGTAGATTCAGCATCATGGTGCAAACCGTCGATATTGCAATAGCACCAATAATGCCTTCCCCTTCATGTCCAAACATAGACAACTGTTTTTGAATAGTTTGATGATGACATCCCTTCTGAAGATTGATACATCACTTCAGTTTCCATGTTCTTAAGATCAGACATGCTTGTCCTTCTCTGGAATCGTTCCTGAACCCAATCCAAAGAACCTAGTGCAACCAAACTTCCATCTACCTCAACCAAGGCTCCAAAACCTGGTTCTGTCAATTGCCCTCTTGTTACCGGGATAGTCAATTTCAATGATTCTGCTTTATTTACAATAGCCCTTGCAATTGGATGCAATACTGTTTTCTCTACCGCAGCTGCCATTTGAAGAATTTCTGATTCTTTGTGAGAGATGGAGGACACAGCAGAAACGGCTGGTTTTCCTTCGGTAAGTGTTCCTGTCTGAAAATTGGAAAATGGGCAAGGATGGAGTGTGAAGGTTCTCGATGATCAAGAGTCAAATGCAACAACCTCATGATTTATTTCCTATGTCAATCTCAATTTACATGTGTGCAGTGTGTATTGACAGAGAAAGAGAGCATAGTTCTATTATATGTAGAAATAACCTTATCTAGAGCAACATAATTAATGCTTGCTAAGCGTTCCAATACATCCCCTCCTCTTATTAGAAGTCCCTGCTTTGCTCCTAATGTTTTCAAAAGAAAAGGGACTTAGCGTTTCTAAAAAGAACAGTGACCATTAAAAGGAAGATACAAGATTTTGCTTCTGTTATCATTAAAATGGAGAAACTAAAATCTCATAATGGCAAGTTACCACTACATTAGAAGTGACATTGTATACAGGTTATTAAACTTGATTGAAACAACTGACAAGTTAGACAACATACCAAGCAATGTTCCAACTAGGATTGCAGTGGGTGTGGCAAGTCCCAGTGCAGATGGGCATGAAACTATCTGGAATGAAAATCAATGTTACAGTCAAGAAATATAAAGAAATTGTATATACAGCCTCAAACTCAGTTAAATAGTTCATTATGGTTAGGTTGGGGAATAAATCCATATTCACTAGGAGGTAAGTCCACTCACCAAGACATCCACAGAAAGTTTCAAGCTCAACAGCGAAGGATCTCCATCCGGTCCAGCAATATCATTGAGCAAAACATCAGGAAAAAAATGTGAACCAGTGTAATACCTGAATGTGCATGCAACAAAATGTGAGAAGCAAGAAGGATAAATCTATGAATTTATAATTACAACAACTTAAACCCAATACTTTAGTGAGAACTAAATGATATTATTCAAACAAAGAAGCAAAGAAAAATTCAAATTAAGACATAAGTTCATGACTGATTAAGATCACTCCCCACTCCTGTCAGACTGAAACATGAGTTATCTGCATCAAGTTCAAGGCTAGCACTGATAAATGGAAATCAATAACGCAAGGAATCTAAATTTAGTAATCTAGAAAATGAGGAAAGCTAAAATATGGATTTGTGTGGTATACATAAAGGGAACAAGGTCCCTTAGCTAGGTAAACACAATACCCAACAAAGAATGTGCTCTGTTATGCCATTGTTGAGTTTGATAAATCAATAACATCGCTCTCACCAACCATGTTGCATCCTAGATTCCAACAAGCTGATAATAACAGGTGCTATAAAAGGTGGGAAACAAACCCTACCAAAATGAAAAAGTTACTGCAGATATAGTCATTACACTATAAACAAAAGGTCCAGCTATTGAATCTGCAAGCTTTTGTATAGGCGCCTCATTGCCTTGAGCATCCTCAACCTGAAATTACACCATAAAGCTTTAACAATTGTAAAAAAAATTTGAAGCTACTGTCAGGTTATAATTCCCAAATACAATAAAACAGTGAGCAGCATTCATCTAGAGTTGACTTCCATGCAGCCAATTAAGATGAAGGCAGACCTTGGAGCTGCTCAAGCAAATGTAACAAGTTGATGCCACAAGACTCAAAAGAATCATTTTAACATTTCATGCATGCCATTATCATGAAGTCTGAATCCATGGTTTTATGTTTAAAAAGGCTGATCAAGACTAAAAAATAGATCTACTTTCTCGCTCTACTTTGCATTACTGTCCAGTAATCAACTCAATTCAGATCAAGCCCCAATACCAAACTAGTTGAGATCAGCTTCATGGATCTGCATCCTTTTATTTATTTATTTTTTCAGGCTAAAACACATACATACTGAACTCCATTATTAATTGAATTGAATTTACTTTGTTGCACACTCAAAGCACAATTATGCAAAAAACAATTGGTTATGGGTATCATAGAGAGGCTGCACATTTTTCTACAACTACAGAAGTTCAATTCTTTCCCTTTTTATCTATATCACCAATACCTGCATCTGCACTCGGTACAATAAGCAGCTCATTTTCAAAATGTAAATGAACCATTCCAAAAAATGTCATGGGAATCTTGTTTAGGGTCACACATTGAGTTACTATGAAGTAATAAAAAAATAAAAGAAAATCCGTTTATCCATCTGTATTATTTGCTTTTTATTCTTTTAACAAGAGGGAGACAAATGAAAAAAAAAAAGGGAACAGTGAACCTACCATAAGAATGATACTAGATATTGTTGAGTTGGAGCCAACAGACAATGCCTCTATCCTTAAAGGACCATACTGAAACATTTTTTAAGAAATGCTGATTGTCAGCAATGCAATAACAAAACATAAAAGCAAAGGGCAAGAAAAAAAAAAGAACATGATTTTATATTCCATGTTCTAAAGAGTTACTTTAGCCTGAGATATTGACATAAGTTAGCAACACAATTTTATGAGACAACTTTGGAGCTCCACAGTATTTTTACTGTGATAACCCACAAGGCTAATCCCAATCATCTGAAGGTAATAAAAGCATCAATACAAAAAGTGCCACCCAGATCACAAATATAAGCAGTGACTGGATACATTGCAATTTAAAAATATAATCATACCCAGTTTATTGTTCCAGCTGAGACTTTGAGCCCTTCTTCCTTAAATACAGGCAGTGATTCCCCAGTAAGCATGGATTCATCAACAACACTTCTTCCCGCAAGAACTCTTCCCTATGACGGGAATGTTTAATGTTAACAGAACCAGACACAAGTGCTACTGAGATTCAAATGACATTGCAAATTGAAATACTGGCCACTAATTTGTCAAATAATCAGCAAGTTCCTTTTGGTTTGAAAAGAAACTATGCAACTCTATATAAAAAATAGGTCTATGGACTTTTGTATGAATCCATTACAAAGTCATTGGTAAGTAGATGGAGCAAGCTAGTTGAATATCTGAATACACATGGAAAATGTGAAAGAAATGTTTTTTACATTGTTTGTAACATTTCATGAATATAGATATAGAAAGTAGCAATTACAGATATACCATATGCATTATATCATTGAAGCATAATTTAGGATCACTTCTTTCACCACCTCTAAAGATTCCTGCTTGTGACAAATATCAAAATCTACGGCAAATTTATGTCAAGTCCTATGGTGTTGTAAACAAGGAGCGCGTTCACAATCTGCATGCACATCCAGAGACTTGGATCAATGAAAAAAAAGAGTTACCGTATATAAATTAAGCACTGAAATATGAGAAAAGAAAATTAAAATATAATTTTAATACCATGAGAAATTTGATAAAGATCATGTGATGCTTTTACATCTACAGGAATAGTTTCTCCAGGTAGAACTAACAATGTGTCTCCAACTCGGACATCATCAGTGGGGACTTCAGTGCAAATAGCAGCAGAGCAAAGAACAGTATGCGTAGGGGAATTGCTATCTGATGAAGAAATTACAAGTCGTGACTGAGTAGACATGAGTGACTACAAGATCAATGAAATCACACAGGTTATTACATATACACTATATTATTAAAGCTTACTTGGTATAGTTTAACA